GCGCACCGCAGACGATATACCACAACAGTATCTCTAGAGTTCTTACCCGACGGAATCTAGAATTCTTACCCGATGGAATTTGCTACAATTCGGTTCAAGTGCGGAGTAGTGTCGAGGTCCTCCGATGTATCGCACTGACACGTACATTCGTCACATCATAACCTTATACTAGTTTGGCCACGTTGGGCCTTCCCAAAAATTGGCAGGGAGGCGGCCGCAACCCCGTTTAGGGTGCTTGAGCCATCTGCTCAAAATTGATAGTTTTTTTAGTGTGTAGGGGGATTTAATTGCGGAGCGACCATATGATCGAACGGGGTTGCACCCAGCAACCCTCACCGCCGTTCCCTGGAGTCCCCGAGTGCACGTACCAGCTTTTGCTTAGCGAAGCATGCTGAAAGCTGCGTCGTACATTGCGCGCGTTATTGTTTAATGTCAATCGCAACCGAAAACGCTTCCTGTAAGGGACAATCTATTTTCTTCCCTCAACGTCTAACATTCCACCCTTCAGTCTACCTCAAATTTGAATAAAATTACAGAGCCGGCAGATCAACTAGCTTGGCAATTGAACGATGATGGGCAAGTCTGATACACAACATTGTTGAAGATTCCCCAACAGGGGATCGTATTTGGTTGCTGGGGAGGGGTGGTATTTGATCTGGGAAAAAATGTTGTAGTTGATTTTTCTTGATTCGGGGACGCTGTAAAGAGGGTGGGTTCGTATTTGCTCGTTGTCGAGAGTGAGGGTTCGTATTTACCTTCTGGAGAGAGAGTGTGTGTGTTACTTCTTCGTTGTTTTTGCTGTTCGTATGTTCATATGTACTCTATGCTCCCCTTGCCGCTCAATAGCCAAGTTTTTAGTAAAAACTAGGGAAATTTCCGAGAACTTTCAGAAAAACTGGTAAGAGATTGGGAAAATCTAAGGAAGTGGTAGGTAGGATAGGGATATAGGGATTCGGCACGCATTCCACATTCATCTAAGAGTGTAGTTGCTTTTAAATGCAATGTGACCTAACGCTATGACTTGCGGCGCCGAGCCGTTCATTGAACAAGCCGGTGTTTCTATTCTTCCAGAGATATCTCGTAGCAAGTGACGAGCCCAGAGTGCTGAAAAAACTTGGCTAACTGGTGCGGAATCTGATTCGGACTTCTACTGCCTGACCGCGAACGCCCCGACTGTAGCGCTCAAAAAATGAGCGTTTTCTGTTCCAGGCCGTTGAAGTGTTAATGGTGTCAGTTTCAGTGCTTCAGGTTTCTCTCCAAGAGTTTCACTTCTCGTAATAAATCTCGAAGAAGCTGTGTGACAATAATAATGAATCAGAATGAGTGCAACATTAGCTGATGAGGCGCGACAGCGCGGCGATGGCACTTTACTGCGACAACAGAGACAGCGTCCGGACCCCGCAATCACGACAATGATAATGAATCAAAACGAGCGTCGCCAAACGCCCTGCAGTGCTATAGAAGAGAACTCAGCCGTAGACGTCATTGGTCGGCATTGGTCGGTACTGTTTTGAGAGAGTATAGACGAATAGTGTACCCGCACATTCTTCTATACTCTCCCAAAACAGTAGCTATCAGGCTGACTGATGGCCGTCCTAGCATTGAAGCAGGTTGCAATGGTAGCGCGTCGACGCGTGTTATCGGGAAGTCTAAACGGCAGTTGTGCGGTTAAGTGTCTAGAGGGTTTTCCACGATCTAACAGTCGAATCCGACTGATGAACAACTTCAGAACTGTACAGAAGAGAACAGAAGAGAAATTTATTACAATGAGATACAAAGTAGAAAGATAAAAATTATTCACAAAAAAGACTGGCTGGCCTGTACTGTCACTAGGCCTATTTATAGCAAGTGAGCGTGGCCGTCGAGGGGGTGTGTGGTGTTCTTAAAAGATCTCACTTCACACCTATCATGCCTCTCGGGGAGACTCGCCTGCGGTGTTGCCTGACTTAATTGCTCTCTCACTAACTCCTGACCTCTCGTCTACAGACACGACTGAGCCAAACTGAACATGGAAAGTAGAAGGAAAAAATAAAAGTAAACGTAGGAAATGTCAGAAAAAAGATGTTTTCATAAATTTAAAATGTCAAAAACACATTTAACCAAACTGAAATGCAGACGTACATAACATGAAATTACTGCAATCCAAATAGGAAAAAAGGGGCACGTATTGAAAAAATTCGTATTGCTTTCATCATGGAAGGTATCCCAAATGATCTGAACTTCTAGGCTCTGTAATTACTTGACGGTTGAATGTGTCTTGCGCCAAGAACTCGCTGCAATTGCAAGGACTTTATTGATGCCCCTCTATAGGGAGGTTAATTCGTTAAATATGACCGCCACTACGTTAAACTGTTAGGCATCTCTTTTATCAACTCACCCTAGATAAAGGTCGTCGCTACAGTATTTAAGCGGGCTGATCAGCGGAAATCTTTAGCAATGTTGTTTGTGTAACGCAGAGTAGAGCATGAACGATAAAACTCCTCCCTTTATTCCGTTCCCACCAATTCTCTGATTTTCCATGATGTCTCCGGCAGTACACCACTCCCTTTCCCTTTGTGCACGTTTTCTTTTTGAACTTCGATGCTTGTATGTCTTCGAAATGGCGCATCTCAAATCGAAGCGGAAGAATATTGTCGAAAAATGTCTAGATTTGTTACTAACACTACCATCTAAGCCTAATTTATGTGTTTCATTTTAATTCATTTTAGCATGCTTTTCATCTTTGATTGTTTCATGTGATTCAAATTTTTCAATTGTAGTCCTTAGTTCTATTAAAGTTGCTAAAAAAATTAGCAGTAAATCATCACTCATCATGATGTAATCGTCAAGTAGAGGAAAGGTCAGGAGCTAGTGAGAGAGCCAGGCAACACCGCAGGCGAGTCTCCCCGAGAGGCATGATAGGTGTGAAGTGAGATCTTTTAAGAAAGTCCTACACCCCCGTCGAGGGGACTGTAGTCATCGCCCCTGTTATACCTGGGGATACGGCAGAGCACGGCGTACCCGCCGGTGCTGCCGCACCTTTTACGACCGCTCAGAGGCCTTCCCAATAATCTCGAACCCGAGTCTATATACATTACATATACATTACACTCAATAAATCAAGGCGTTCCCACTACGCCATATTAAAATTGCCTGTACGGCTTCGATCCTCGGCCGCCACGCCCCCTAGATCCTGAATGGCGGTGATCACGCCCTTTTGCTTCTACGGAGGACCAGTTTGAACATTTTGTTTCCGATCCTTTGCAGTGGTCTGCATTCCTGCGAGCTTCGCGAAGCTGGTCCAGCTTTGAAACGTCGTTCATTGCCGTTGATATGGTTAGGCTTCCAAGAAAGACTTCGCTCTGAACCGTATCCGGCTCGAGAGTACTGACCACCTCGCTGCTGCCTTTTCCAAGGTAGATTCTTTCTGTGATGATCATGCAAGGAAGCAGGCGATCTGCTGTGCTCAGCAGTGATGAAAATTGTGTCATTGTTGTCGCCCAGAAACGCTTGGTAGCACTCTGGGTGAAAAACTTTCCATCTTCATACGTGGCCGTAAAAAATAGTTCTCCTATGCCTTTTGCTGCGAGCGAAGGGACAGTAGAAATTGTAAACGATCCTTTAAAGATGAACGTTGAGCTATTGTTTCTGTGAAGAAGCCTTGTAGCATATCCACGGATTTCTTCCACTGCTTGTCGTTCATCGGTTCAGCAATTGCAATCAGTTCCGTGCCTCTGGCCACCGACTGCAGTAAGAGCGTCCACGCTCCGCGCCATCTTGTGGTGCCGGCGAACTCCGCCGGACTAAACAGTAGTATCGAAGAATAGTCTTCATTCAACCAGTCCGGTTGCAAATCTTCAGGTTTTTTCATGACGACAGCTATCTGATTTTCGGCCTTAAGGCAGTCCACTACCTTCTCGAATCCAGCTGGCAGTATGATAAGGTTTTTTCTTGACGTCAAATCTTTCCATGATGAATTAGTCCACGGGTGATTCGAAGCGTAACGTCGTGCTGCATCCGTAACGACTGCCATATTACAGGGATCCCATCCGCTACGAGGTGGATGTTCAGGAAGCACACTTCCGGCTTCAGCTACAGATACCAGTGTGGAATGAATACAGTGTTGCTGGTAGAACGATAGTGCCATGCCGAGTCCGCCTGGCGTTATAAGATCGTATGACCGATCCAAGAGTCTGGCAGTCCGCCAGGCTTCCGGAATATGAGACTGGGTCAAAACAGATAACATTCGGGCCAGTTCATAAGGTGACGAAAATTTGAGGGCTCCAAATGGGGCATTGGGAATAATATCGATCAATGTTGCTTCCACGGAGCATTCCACTTCAACTCCTTGACACAACAGCTTGCCAGGACATCGCCAGTCCACATGTCGTACATCGCTTGTTGATGAGAACGTCGTCCTGAAATTAGAATAATGAATTCTGATACACGTCTTGGATATTATTTCGTTGACTTTTAATTCCGCTTTCTTGACCATTTTGACAATTGTACCATTGGCTTTTTCCGTTATACCGTTTTCCCTGGGGCAGTACCCCTTGGTGAATTTTTGCTTAATTCCCATAACTGAACACAGCGCTTCCATGACAGAATTTTCGAACTCGCTACCGCGATCGGAAAGCAAAGCAGCTGGCACTATCAGTCATTGCAAAAGTTTCACCAAACTTTTCTAGGACGCTAACAAGTTCATCTGACAGTTTTCCTGTGCTATGATTCTGCTGCAGTATATCGATCAAAACTTTCATCCGTTTTGATTTTGGAAGAGCTACATGTCTTTCCATGTCAAGCATACCACCTGACACGTCTTGACATGACTTAGGCGGGATAATGGAACCATCATCCGACCATTCTCCAAGGGGCTCACCCTTATTGATTACCCATGTCTGAGAGTTACGATTCGCTACCGAAATAGCCGTATTCCCCTCTCTCAACAAGCACACGCCTGAGGTCACACGAGGGTCCCTGGACCAAAAAATCCTTTGACCAGACTCTCTTGAGCTCTCTAGTTCAATGTTTGCCACCGCTCCGGGTGGTATGACTACCCTTCTGGACGCCTTTGCATGTTCCGGCATACTAGTCGCGCTCCGCGACGGGTCTCTGTCGCACTCAAATCTGAGTTGGATCCCTAATGCATTTAGAACGTTCGTTCCTAAGAGAAGGGTGCTTCCTTGCTTTTCTGGACATGCATGGCTACTCGAACTTTATCAGCTCCCTCTACGCTTATTTCCGCGTTCACTATGGCAAGGAACTCCATTTGGTTGCCTGACGCGTCGAACACCTTATGTTCGCAACCGTTGCTTACCAGTTCTACTTCGCTGTCTATGTCAAAGCCCCTGCTTTTAGCTTGCTTTGAGGAGACCAGCTGGTAATATGGAGATCACTGAACCAGTATCTATCAATGCTCTTACTTCGATTCCGAAGATTTTCGCGTCGTATAGCGTTGGTTTCCCAACCGCTACGGTGCCCGATTCTACCGCCAACTTTTGGCTGCGAACCATCCCACACCAATCCTCTACGAAAGTGGATAATGATTTCCTGGGGGCACGCTCATCCTTGGTGTTTCTACTTGACCCGTGGCCTTTTCCGCCTGAAGGGTGATCTTTTGGTATCGATTTATCAGGACAAGAGGTGCTATAGTGACCAGTTCCGCCACAGTTAAAGCATTTCTGCAAAACTCCGATCTTCATTGCCGGAGGTTGCCGCTTTCTCAGCGAACATCCTCTTTTTGAAGGGTTTGAACTTCCCATTATGTTCATCCTTTGGGGGTCGCGCTATTTGAGTCTTTTCAAGTCTCAGTGCAACCCTTTTAACAGCATCATATGCCTCCCCATCTTGCGCCTCTAAAGCCGCTAACATGAGGTATGAATCCGGCGCTGTTTATCGACGGGGGCATTCTGCTTTTCATAGATTTGCCAACCCATCTAGGTACCCTTTTTCGAGTTGACACGTTTTAGGATGGTGGCTAGACGATCTTGCTCCAGCTTCACAAGCGTTCACAAGTTTTACCAGAGTGAGATTTGTAAACCGGAACCAGGGAAGCAATTATAATACAAAATGCCCCCCCCCCGTCGATAAACAGCGCCTACGAATCTTTCCAATGTTGCAGGCATGAGTATAATTTTGAGGCTAAATGGAAATCCCATTCAGTACTCGGGTGAATCTTCCGGGAGATATCCTCCATGCGACAGCAGAAATCTCCTACCGATTCATGGCTTCTCATCCTAAGCCTATCCCATTCATCAATCACTTTGAGCTTCTCGCAAGGGTTACGCCGCGCAATCCTTAAGCGCCTGCACTATTCCGGCAAAATCACCCTTTTTAACGCTTTCTGGAAGCCCTTTATACACTGATCGCGCCGATCCAATCAGATGGTTTACCAACACATCACGCCTATCTCTGTCCGACCAAACTGTCATGGGATACTTCATTTCCAGTGCTCGCAAAAAGTCACTGAGGGAACCCTTCCCATCATATTTGGGGACTTCTGCTATGCTTTGGGCCTTGAAAACCTCTTTAAATACACTGAACATCCCGTTCATGGCATGGGAGATATGACTAGCCTCAGAGTTGTGCGAGTTTTGAAAGACAGAACTCGACTCACCGACTGTCGATGCGTTGGAAGACTGCCGACAGGATGGACTCGATCGTCCGCTGGAGATTGACCTCTGGCGCCTCGCTGTCCCAACGTTCGTTCCTGTCACGGGCTGTCGGCTCTGGAAATCGGTCTTATTCCCACGTTTCAGTGATAGAAGCTGTTGACTAACAGCCGACCAATCCACACAATTGTTTTTCTCACCTTGAGCTTGCATATCTGGGCGTACTTGATTCAAGGACGTCGCCAGCCTCGCCGTGAGTTCGTCTACTTGGCTCTGCAACTGACAATTTTTATCTATCAGGCACTGGATGCTCTTTTCTTGATCACTTGTTAGTGATCGGAGCCTATCCAACTCTGAACATTGAGCTCTTACAGTTGCCGAGACCTCTGGAATTTTGCAACCGATTTCCTCCGCTAGGCTTTGCACCATACTACTTGTAACTCGCACTTTGCTTCTTCTGAAATCGAGATGTCCTCGAAAATAGTATGAGCTGCTCGGCCAATAGCTAGCCGAGCTTTTTCCCTAGCGATTTCCACTGTCCCTTGGACAGTTTCGAGTATATTCTGCTTTTTCTGCGCAGATAATTTGCGTATCTGCTCATCCAGAGTGTCCCGCATAGTCCTCTATTCTTCCCAAAGCCCTCCAAGATAAAAGGAGAACGCATCGCAAACGTGGGAGCGGCATGTCACATCGCAATCCCTCAATCAACCAACTAAATTTTGGGAATCATTTTTTACGGTTGTAGTTAGTCTGAAGGCAAGACATCCATATGCAATTGTCGTAAAATCCAGCAAATCATTAGTGAGCACGGCTTTCTCCTGTTCCAGACTTGTTCGGCAGTGTGATTCGGCTAAATGCGACAATTAAAAACGCTGGATTGCAAATAGCATGATAAATGACGACGCATATGAAACAGATACGTCTAGCATAGGAGATACCGTGATGAACAAGCCCCACGCAGCAAGACCTAACAACTCGGCACGCACTCCCACTGAAACCGACTCGCCCACAAACGGCTGCACCACTCAGAAATTAAACAGTCTTGGAATCATGTTTATCCTTTACGTCTAGGTTGTTGGTTTTTTTTCCAATCGCCGTGGTTTTTCTGTTCCTCCATTAGGCCGCATTCATAGCTTGCGACAGTGACGAAATGGATAACGCAGAATCGAAGAAATGTGGAAGGGAAGCATTAGACACGTACTCGTTCGAAGAAATGCAGAAATGAAGGAATGCAGAATCCTAAGAAATAACGAACAACTTTAGATACGTATAAAGAAATGCAGAAATGAAATGTAGAATTGAAGAAAAGCATAAGATACTTATTGATTCCAGAAATGAGGCATTGTTCAGTGTCTGCGACCCTGACGGATCAGAGGATCGGCAAGCAGTGAATACAGTCGTCATCCGGGCAGTTGATTAGGCGGTCAAAGGGTCGCAGACGCGGCTGCGGCGCGTCACGACCGCGGCGATCAGCTGTTTCCAGCCTATTTAGCCATTTCTCCCTAATTTTCACTGTATTATTTATTTTTTCGAGGTAATGTGCACTAAGAATCGGTCTCTGGGCAGAAGTTTCTTCGATAAAATCCCGAACAACTTCGACGCTTCTGCCTCAGTCCATCGTCTTGTAGTCCCGCAAATGCTGTCAATTCCGCACCTTCATCAGTAAGTACCAGGCGCTCTTCCATTGCATTGGCTCGGTGTAGTGAGCTGGCGAGAATAGGATGATGGCGCTGAACTCTTCCTCGAACCAGAGGGGTTCGAGTTCCTCTATGGTGCGAACTGACTTTGCAATTGTTGTGGCCGTTTCGAAATCACCTAATACATCCTGGAATCCTTCTAGTAGGATTAAGAGTGTACAACGTGGTTTCACAGCACTGTTGCCGGTCCAGGGATGCGCGTTAGCTATCTGCAGCGCTTCTGTGTACATCCTTGGCAGATGATAGGGATCCATGGTACTGCGAGGGGGAAAACCCGCCGTTGGTGTGGTGGCATCAGCCACGCTCGCCAGAGCAGTGTGGATGCAACGACTGCGATAAAAGGACATGACCAAACCAAAGAGATTGGTGTAATCAGATCGTAACACGGTATCCAAAAAACGGACGACTCCAAATAGCAATGCACTCGTTGTCCGTTGACCTCCAGCTTCCCGGACATCTCCAATCTACATGGCGAACGTTGTCTTCGGACGATGATGGTGCGCTGAAATGAAATTTTTGAATAGATAGTACATTACTGAAGTTTGAATTTTTCTTTCTTCTACCACGTTTTGCACGTGCTGTGGTCCCTATGATTCTGTCATTACCTATTTCCTTAGGTACTTTAATCAAATGGTCAAATGGAACCCTAACCGGCTCTTCATTTCACCGATCAAAGTGACCAATGCTGAATTAGCGCTGGCTTCAATTACCCTGAATGGACCGGACCACTCAGTTGCTAATTTGGGATGCCGCGATTTGCCTTTTCTCGGCAGGAAGCTTCATATAAACTCTATCACCTGTCCTGAAAACTACCGAAGGAAGCTGTTTTGTACCTTCTGTCATAAGCTAGTTTCATCTTGTCACAATACTCTTCGCGTTTTCATTGATGCATTCTTGCGCTAATTTGAGTCGCAAAGCAGTTCTGTCTTGTAGGTATCGTAGTCCACGATGTAAGGCGATAGGTGTTCCGAAGGTATTGACATTGAAGGATATACCGGATCATGCCCATACAACAAAAAATGGGGACTTTCTCCCGTCGCTGCATGCGGGACGCATTATACGCATAAACAACGGTCGGTAGAACTCGATCCCATTCCGCAGCTACCACTGTTTTCTTTTTCAACATTCTAACAATGGTCCCATTGACCCTTTCCGTCAGTCCATTTTCTCGGGGGCAGTACCCCTTAGTGAATTTTTGTGCTATTCCCATAACTTTACAGAGAGCGGCCATTATCTCATTTTCGAATTCGCTCCCTCGATCAGAGAGAAGTACCTTCTGGCCATCTTCCGGCACCACAAACCCAATTGCTAAAAATGGCCTCAGCAACGGTTTCCGCTTTCTTGTCCGCTATGGGGTACGCACCTAAATATTTCGTGAAATGGTCGATAATGGTGACAATGTAACGATTTCCTCGCGTGGTCAAGCCCATTTCTAATAAATCGACGCCGACTATCTGAAGTGGTCTTGTGACTTCAATAGGCCGTAAGGGTGGCACGTTTTCTGTCCTTCGATTAGTCAAGAAACAGCTTTGGCAACTGTGGCACCAACTGACCAAATCTTGATACATTCCTGGCCAAAAGCTTTTTCTCATTTGCATAAACATTTTCTTGGCGCTGAAATGTCCGCCTAGAATACCTGAATGGGCCTCGTCAAAAATTTCTCGAGCGCGGTACTACGGTAGCCAGAGATCCGTTTTCATTGATTAAACTTAATTTTCCGTCTTGCAAAACAAAATCAGTTGCTAAGAACATTTACCGTGCCTAGGAAGTTGACTTCTTCAGTCTCACCATTCTCGAGGCACTTTATCGAAAAATCAAAGTCAGGGTTCTACAGTCAGGAATAAGGCTAAACCTCGAGTGCCCACGTCAAAACCCGTGGGGAAACATTGGTTCGCTTGAAGAGCGAGGTGAGAGCAGCATGATCAGTCCGAATTATAGTACGTACACCGTAAATAAAATAATGAAACTTTTTGAGGCTGAAAATCAAGGCTAGCGCTTCCTTGATCAGTTACGTGATAGTTTTTCTCTGCTTGTGCTTCGAAGCAAAATATACTGGATGCAACAAGCCGTCATCTCCATCTTGAGCTAGAACCGCGCCTATGCCTACCCTACTAGCATCTGTGTAGATAATAAAGGGGCGAGATCCGTCCCTTGCCTTTTCTATATTGGGTTGCGCCAGAACTGGAGCCTCCGTGAGTGCCTTCTTAAGCATTTCGGAAGCTAAGGTGTTCATTTGTCCTCACAAATAACCTTTTTGCGCTTATCAAGTCATATAAGGGTTTAGCGATCTGCGAAAAACGCAGCACGAACTTTCGATAATATCCTGCCATACCCAGGAATGTTCGTAGTTGGACTATGTTCTAAGGTCGGGCATAATAATGTCTGCTCTGACACCGTTTTCGTCTACAACATGGCCCGGAATTCTATACTATAGTGCCCTGATGTTGTGGTAAACGCACTAATTTTGTTGGCCTTTTCATTTAAGCGCACTTGCCAGTACCCACTAGCTAGGTCTAGCGATGAAAACCATCGTTTTCCTTGCAAATTCTGCAATGTGATATCGATTGGCGGTAGGGGGTAACTATCCTTTTTCGTCACCTTGTTGACCTCCCTATAATCGACACACAATCGAGTAGTCCCATCTTTCTTGGCTACTAATACTATTGGGGATGCCCACGGGGATTGACTATCCTCAATCACCCTTCTTTCTTTGAAGATCCCGCAACATTACGTCCAATTCCGCGCGTATTCCGTAGGGGGTCTTGTTTTCTGACGGATGGGTGGATGATCACCCACATCAATGTCGTGAGTGACTAAATCCGTTTGCGTTAGTTCCGTATCCGAAATAGCAAAAACGTCGCTGTATTCTTCAATCACTCTACGCATTTCATCGGGTAAGTTCCCAGCTTTTCGATTTTTATTCAATATATCCAAAAGCACGTGAATCCTTTCAGCATCCTGTAACACAGCGGGCTGACGAAGGATCATCATATCGCTCGGGACATCGGCTATTCTGGGGTCAACCCAAGTTTCCGTTGACCACCTCCCTAGGTCCTCTCCTCGGCCTATTACCCAGGGTTCCGAACCTTTATTAATGACTGACAGTTCAGCTTTGCCTTCATCTACCTGGCATACACCAGACTCTATACGAGGATTTTTGGACCAAAATATGCAAGCTCCCTTGCTAAATCCACCAGAAATTTTTACTGTGGCTACTTTACCTGGCCCGACTACTACCCTCCTGTCTGAGTACGCAGCATGAGAACACGGGTGATTTGCAAAGCCATTCCGCGTTGCACGTACGTTCGGGGTTAGTTTCAGAGAGATCCCCAGTACTTCTAAAGCATTAGTGCCCAATAACAACGTATCGTCGTTACTTTGCTGCACGTGCATATGCACGCAGGCCGTGCTAGCTCCTATGACCATTACTTCTGTTGTTATTTCCGAAAGGAAGCTCATCGCATTCCCCGACGCATCGAAAAGCCTACGCTGTTTCCCATCACCCACGATGTGCCTCCGCTTTTTCGAACTGGTTCTTTGCATTTTGTAGGGCCTTGCCCATGAACCATAAAAGTGGGCTTCATTTTCGCTGAGCGGCCCCTGGAATGCCAAAAAAGGAGCGAATAAGAAATCTATGGAAACTGATTCTTTTTGAACCTCCATGGGCTGTAAATAAACCTCTTGAAACTTTGACCAGTTCCCTATAAAAGTATTAGTGAAATCGAAGAGAAAAGTAGTCGGGGTGTGGGGTCTTACTTGTGGCACGTGATCAAGAGTGAACGGCTTCTTGGAATGGTTTCTTCAACGATCGGAGCAGTGATCAGCAACAACGATCGGTGGATAGCGTGGAACATTCCCAAGCGGACAGTTGGGGTGGGGTTGATGGTTCGACTCCCCTCGGCGTGCGAGTTTTTGCATTTTTTATGTTTTGCTGTTTTCGCGTTCAAATATGTCTGTGCGTGAGTATGCGTTCGATAACTGCCATTTATGGGCACATTTCAAATGGGAACACTCCATGAATCAGTGCTATTCAATTATTACAGGTTTTACATACCATTAAGCAAGACCGTAGTTGAAAGTTGATCTTTATAGGTCAGACCATGCCCGAATCACGAATATGGAACTCACTTGTAGCTATGGTGCCATTTATCGCTAATGGAGCCACATGTTTCTTCCAATGAATGCGTTAGGTACACACATATAAGGGACGTGTAGCGCTACCCAGGCGCCAAATTACGTCGGCGCCGAAAATAAGTGTCAAAATCGTGATCGGGGCCATCGATTAATCCCGTGGGCAATGTTTTAGCCAGAAAAAATTTTTTGACTCTCTTGGACTTGGGTGTTGGGCCGAGAGTCTTTTTATTGAAGTCTATAGTGCCTCATTATACAGATTCCCTCATTTTATTGATATGCAAACAGTGCAAACACAAAACTAACAATATCGATGAAATTCGCATTTTGCAAAGAGGAAGGAAAGGGAAGTATTCGTTCAGGTCCAGGACTTCAAAAAAAGTTGAAGGATTTGGGTGAGTGCAAATTCTGTTCCGGTGAGATCGCCATCTTCATCGAAGGAGCAGGCGGTAGGGATTGGCAAAAACCCAGGATGCTTTTTCTCCGAATGCCGCCACCAACCACACTGATGCCAAGCATGAAAGGACCTTGGGCGCGCTCTTGCGACACGGCTGTCCTGCCCGGCGGCCTGCTACGTCGTCGTTCCATCATCGTCTCCACGAAGATATGAGACTCACCACTGCCGACCAAATGGTGGTTTACCACAACACGAAGAAAACGAAAAAAAATTTTGGCGCAGACGATAGTCCTGATTACGATTTTGACACTTATTTTCGACGTCGACGCAATTTGGCGCCAGTATAGCGCTTAACGTCCCTCATATGGGGTACATAGACGTACTTTTCGCTCCTTTTTTGGCGTTCCTGGGGCCGCTCAGCGAAAATGAACCCCACTTCTGTAGGGTATGTTCAAGTGCGCGACAACCCCTGAAAAATGCAAGAAAACCATTTCGAAAAAGCGGGGCACGCCCTGAACGACTTTCCTCGTTAGCATCAAGATCAACGCCTTGTTCGCGTACTCTCTTGAGGAGCCCAACAGGGATAATCGAAATCACAGAGCCTGTGTCTACGAGCGCTTTTGCTGTAATACCGAAAATTTCCACTTCACAAGTGCTTGGTTTACCTACAGCGCCTGATTGGAGTTTTGGGTCTTCCCCTTTTCTTTGGACAGTTTTACACCACCTGTCTAACTCCGTTACAAGCGAGCTACCTCCAGCTGCGTTGTTTCGCGTATCGTTATAGTTGCGGTTGTGACCGTTCTCACGATACTTGTGGTTCGAGGGTTTCTCCCTTTTTCTGCAGTCCGCTGCCAGATGTCCCCTTTTTCCACAAAAGTTGCATTTGGGTATGGACTTGGCTAGGGTTCCTGCTTGTTCACTGGTCGTATTAAAAGAGGGAGTCTTTTGAGGGTCGCTACCTTGTCGATCAAGTCCCCCTTTTCTGGAAACGCAACTGGGTGTTGCTATCGAACTGCAGCTTTTCCAGCCGCATGGCAACTCTTTTCACCTCTTCATAGACTCGTCCCATCCATGCCGCCATCATGTAATATGAATTGTGCCAGTGTTGAAAACAGGAGTACAACTTGGACCTCTTATGAAATCCCACTCGCTGCTCGGGTGAATTTTTCGAGACAGATCTTCCATGCGGCAACAAAAATCTACGACAGATTCGCCGTTTTTCTTGGAAAGACTCTCCCATTCTTTGATATCCCTCAGTCGTTCACAGGGATTTTTACGCGCTGCTTCAACGACACCGTTGAATGTTCCTTGCTTGGCTGTATCTGGGAAACCCTGATAGAGTGACAGAGCCGTCCCCTCTAAGTGGTTCACTAGCAAGTTGCGTCTATGCGAGTCTCTTTACAGTGTGGCGTTGAATTTAATGTCAATTGCCCGAAGAAACTCGCTTAACGGAATTTTTCCCGTTATACTTCCTTACTTCCGCGACGCACTGGGTTTTGAAGAACCTCCTTAAAAGCACTAAACATGCTAATAGGGTCCACAGCGTGTGCCTTACTAGTGTTAGAGTAGCGATACTGAATACGGGACTCACCACTCGTCGATCCTCGGAAAGACTCCGGCGAGCACTGCCGTGACGACTTTTGCGACGCTGCTGTTGGGACGCAGTGAGGTCCATCGCTCTTGTGGCGGAATTCGTTCCGTCTCTCAACAGAATTTTCTCTGTTTAGTGATGTGTAATGGCTGCGAATATCATTCCAGTCATTAACTTTCTCACCTGCGGTGGCGGCATCTGCACTTCGGGCCTCCGACATTGACGAACCTACCATTTGAGTAACTTGCTCCTTTATCTTATTCTCGAGGTCTTCCCTTTCTTTGTTCCTCTCAGCTACTTCTTTCTCATAGCTTAGCTGGACCGAAGGAAAGCTGTTTTCCAGCTCTAATGCCCTATCACATTGCTTAACTACTATTTCAGCATCTTGGTTCAGCTCGCACCCGAGTCTTGCTGCGATCTGGCAGAGGGTACGGCTGTGCGAGCTGACAGTAGGCAAAAATTCGCGCAACTCTTCTACTGACATTTGGACTTCATCAAAAAACGAGGAGTTCGTTGACTGCGCCCTTACTTCTAGATGGCTGTTACCCTTGACTAGAGCATTCCACACTGTTTCCCGTACGGTTCCCAAAATGATTCTGCGCCTTAGCGTTTAAGGAATTTCTTATTTGGTCAGCTAGCACATAGTTAGTTGAGCTGAATTAGGATGTTTTCAAAACACTTATTTATGTCCTCGTACTCGCAACTCACTCCGAGTACGTTCCAGTGATTCTCCTCGATTATCTCCAAATTCAACTGTTGAATCCAGATAAATCGGCTTGACCCCCAAGTGGTTCTCGTCGCGTTCCGAAGATGTAATGGTTAAGACCGGATTGCAGTTGAACAGAGTAGAATAAGAATTTATCAGTTCAATAGACAAAGTCCCAGTGGTGGGCCACTGGAGACTAGAATATGTGAGTCGAGCAGGAAAACGAGTAAACTATACCTCGTGACCTCGGTATTTATGTGTTTTGTGAGAGGGGGCGGAACGACCTTATGATACCTCGAGGGTCAGCCGTTTCCCTCTGGCGATATCCTAAGG